GAGAGAGAGAGAGAGAGAGAGAAGCTGGCCATCAGAAGGAATACCTAATTACCATATTGAGTTACCAGCAACGTCGGCAGCAGCAGCAGCAACATCAGGGGCAGTGGCAGCAGTATCGACTGTACAGCTCGACTCTCTTCAGCTGCCCTCTGAGACAATCCCAATTAATCATCAAGTGTCGCGCGAGACGGTGTGTGGCTGATAAGAGAGGCTGATGCTCACTGTACTCCACTTGCCTTCCTTTCAGCGGCCAGTAAAAAACTGACAGCTTTGACGGCCACTGCCGCCGCCGCAGATGCTGATGGCGATGGTCTTGGTCGATGACACGTACGAGACAGAGAAGACATCAACACTGGTGGTGGATGCGGCGATATACTCCGACAGTACATCATCATCATCATCTCCCCACTGCAACGATGATGTACTAGGCAGNGAGAGAAAGTGAAAGAGAGAGAGCAGTGTACAGATAAAGTGCGCTTTCTCTTTCATTCACTATCCGAAAAAGCAAGAGATGCAAAACATGAATGGAGAAACAACATGTCCGCTGAAAAGAGTGACAAAAGGGCACTCTTTTGCAGTAGCGACAGTGAAACAGTGCAATGCAGCAAAAGTGGCCCTTTACTGATGTGGTGATGCGGATGAGGATGAGAAGGTGGTATAATGGTAAGAAAGAGAGTGGCAAGTAAAACATGATATATAAACAAGATATAAATAACAGTCTGGTAACAATGGAACAACGGGAGAGTTCAAGGTGTAAAGAATGGATCAACATATGACAAGGAATCGGGAGAACGAGGACAGCATCATTTCTGGACTGGACTGACACTGCGCGCTAGTGATAAAGGTGGTGGTAGTCGTGTGGTGGTGGGAGAGGTNGTCGTGGGGTGGTGGGAGAGGTAGTGGACGTTCAATTGGCTGATAAAAACCGTCCACCACTGCTTCCGTCTCTACTCGGACTTTTTGGGGAACGTATAAACTCGTTGCACCATTGCGCGAATAATCTGNTAGTGGACGTTCAATTGGCTGATAAAAACCGTCCACCACTGCTTCCGTCTCTACTCAGACTTTTTGGGGAACGTATAAACTCGTTGCACCATTGCGCGAATAATCTGCCCGGGAATGATTTGATGCTGTTGAATAAGCTCTTCAATTGCACTAGACGCCTAGTGAAAGTGGGGAAAAATTGGGAAAAGGCAGAAAAAAAGAGAAGCCATCGTCAGTCAAAACGTGAATAATACTTGCTCAATCTGCTAACGAGAAATTAAGTGCATCGCATGCATCTGTCAATCAAATTAGAAGAACATGAAAAGAAGTGATCACTTCTACTACTGATCAGCCTGTCAATCGATACCAGATGACAAGTGCTGATCAATGTAGATCAGCCGTCGAGACAACTGTGGGAACTCCAAAAAACAAGAGAAAGACAGCGAACGATAGTAGTTTCAAGTGCACCGAACTCATCAAAGACCAGCTACCGACTAAGCACTACACAACACAACAGAACTAAGCACTATCGCCAGCAGTAGATAACTACTTTACATGCGACGCAAAACGTGATAGAGAGACGATCGCAGTCAGTGACAGTGGTGAATGGTAGAAAAAGCGAAGAGGAAAAGAAGGAGGAAAAAACGTGCTGCTCAATGAGGGTGGGCGGAAAGTTTCTGAGTGTGTGTGTGACTGTGATTGAAAAGCTGAAAGTGATTTTGGCGCGAATCACACTATTTGAAGGAGCAAACTTCCAAGCCAAAGCATGTCCACGGCAACTAACCTTAAGGGAGATCTCCTCGGGAGTCCAATCTGGGTCCACCATGATGGGCTTGCCAATGTAGGTCGTCAGCTTGACGGGAAAGCCGCCGTAGATGGCGGCCAGTGGGAGGCGGTACTTGTCGTACAGCCACCGGAAGAAGCCCTGCCCGAGCTGAACAGTGCGAAAGGCCTCCCGAATATTCTGCGTGAAGATGGGAATGATGGGCACTTGAGCCTGCTTGGCGACCTTTGCAAAGCCAACGCGACCTGACCAAACCAACTCGTAGTACTCCGTCCCAAATTGAGCTGCCGTGGAGGAGATTAGAGAAGGAGAAGGCAAATTAAGAAAGACGTAAGTACAAAAGTAGGACACAGCAAGTGTGCGCTTGCTGTGTGCGTCCTTTCGTTCGTCGATCGGTCGCCGTGCACTCTGCTCACCTTCTCTGACACCTCCGGGCGATATTGCCAGCAAGTTGCCCTCATTCAGCACCTTCACGCAGGTGCTCACTGAGCCTGGAAAGACTTTTAGAACTTCCATCAGACGCGTCCAGCCTGGTAAAGTAGAATTGTCATTAGAATGGTCAGCTTTTCCACATATGAACAATATTACCGGGTATCATAAAGAGAAATCGATCACCGACAGAGTAGATGAGACGCTTTTTGGCGATGATGCACCTCGCCGAGAGGTAGTAGTAATCAATTGGAATGGCACCGTGGTAGTAGACGAGCAACGCTGGTCCACTGTCGGGAATGTTCTCCAGACCTTCCACTTCGTAGCCGTACCAGATGTACCCATGGCCTTCCCACATGACTGCCAGTCGTGGTC